ATATAGACGATTTTGTTGTTGAATCTGTGTGAAAATCGTCATATCCTCTGGGCATTTCATCGGGTTGGGTCGACGTCTGTCGATTTCCTTCCAAACAGCTTGTAGTTGGCTGTAAATTTTCTCCAACGGCTGTTCACCTTGTTTGATTTCGCTGGCCTTAACCATCAGGTCGTAGATTTGGAGGGGATCTTTTCCGGAGTTGTACGTGGCTTCGATCCCCTTCCACAAATCCCAGGCAGTAGGGTAATCGATATATTGATTAACAATATCTGATTCTATGTTTTCAAGTATCCACGTTATTACCGTTGAATCTGCTTGTCTCCATTTAATATATTTGGCATCATCAGATTTGAGAGGTGCGGCGATGATGTGCTTGAGCCGTCCTCTCCCGTCCAGAGCCAGGCTCATTTTACGCGCCCAAATGGCGTAGTTCCTATCGTTGAGTTTTTCCGCCAAATTTAATGGCTGATTGGAAGAGCTCTCGATAGGTTCGGCCTTGGGTGCTAAATTCTGAAAATTTTGGAGAATTTCCAGAATTTGTGCAAGGTTGACTGGCTGCTTCATTGGATCGGATTCCCATGTGTAGGTGGAACTCTCTGGAGTTGGATTGGACATTTTTTTTTATGGTGGATGATGAACGGATTGAACGCTGCGTATCATTCAATTGTTTTGATCGAATGATGGCTTTGATACCATATTAGAAATATAGAATCAATTCACAGCTAAAAATGTTCATCTTATTGAATACATCTCTAATGATGTCTATAAATATTACAAAGTTAATAATGAAGACAATCAAGGAAAGTGAGTGGAAGTTAATCAAATATCCTGATTGGTAATTTGATTCCAATCAAGGATATTATCAAGATATTACACTATTCCCTTTTTGTTTGATATTTCTAACATAGATATATTACACAGTAAACTACAAATGTATTTGAATTATGAGGAAATGAAAAAAAAACTAGCATTATTAGTGAGATGACCTGCTGAGGAGCGCGAGAATAGTGCAAACAGAAGGTTGCTTTTCTGCAACATATCCTCACATGTTCTTATCCCAAAGATTTCCTTTAAAATGTTTTCAGTGACCTTACCAATGCCGCCAATCTGTAAAAGGGGTTTTCATTTTTCAAAACTAGAACAATAAGGGATTGACCAGAAAATATAGGTTCCCCTAAAAAACCAATGAGCCAGAAAGACTGGCTATAAGTGTAAACTTAACACGAGTACCTTCCTAATAGGAAGTGTAGAGATAAATGTCATAATAGCAGCACGATCACTAGGCAAAACAAACTGTCCATTCGGCTTGTTGATATCTGAACAGACCTGGCAACCAAAAGGCACAAACATAAATCAATAAACTGATACTCGGGTTTAATTTATTCACCTTCAATAGATATTGATGAACTTTTATATTATGGCCTGCAATGAAAACACCCTGCAGGTCGGCACACACATACCCTCCCCACTGGGCCCCAGGCCTCTTCCCACCCTCCGAGAAAACACTTCTAATACCTTAGCAAGTAAGCGATTTGGTGCCACTCCTGCACTACATGTGAGTCCAGTCTCTTTGAATACACTTCCCCGGAGCTCTTCAGCCACCTAATAACAAAAGTATCGCATGCCAGCAATAGATAAGCAATGATACTCACTCTCTCACATATATACTCCGTAATAAATACTAAAAAAACATATTAACGTGGAGTTAATATAAGGTTTGTTGGGTTATTCGGTGAAGGCTTTAGAGCTGTGGGCTTTAAGCCTGGTCGGCTAAAGGGAAGAAACATGGGGGGCCGGTTTTAGTTATTAATTAAAGGGCCCATTAGTTGTTTCTTGTTTAGCAAGTTGTTAACCCTAGTTTATATCTTATAAATACCCAATCATGTAACTATAATCTGTGAGCACCTAATAAAAGA